CACTTAGGGACTCTAGCATGAGTCACCGTACGATCTCGTGGAAGGTACAGTCTTTGTCCTCCAGGAGCTTACAGTCTAATAAGGTAGTAAGACAGGGAAAGTAATTCTAATTCTAGGTTGAAGGGTAAGCTATGAACTTTGAGGAAGACATAAAGTGCTCTAGGAACACACAGTTTAAAAAATGAAGGTCGAGACACCTCAAACAGGAGAGAAAATGTAAAAACTAGATGAGAATGAATTTTTTCCTCACTTCAAATTCTGGACAAATCAGCCACAAAAAGGGAATCCCCATTCTTGCAAATCTTTCCTTAGGGGGGAAAAAATATCTCTTGAACTGGATCCTGGGGGGGAAAAATTACTTATATGGCAAAAGATCTTGCTGGGGCGGGGGCGGGGGACGGTGTGCAAGTGTATCTTCAGGGAAGAGAGAAGGCACTTAGAGCCACGGAGTTGTCAATGCCTGGGTTATCAGGGGACCACACGTAGTTTAGCAAGGCTGGACCATCACTTCCATGAAGCGTGGGAGAAAGAACTGAAAAGGAGTATCAGGACCCTGATACGTACACGGCACTACCAGGCACTAAACAGGGTACATGCCTAAGACCAAGTTGCTGCCCCCTAGGAGCTTACATTATAACAATACAAGGTGGAAAAAGCACCACAATGTACAGAATGCAAAATGCTTAAGTATTCAGGAGATAATTACAGCTGAGTTTCAGCTATTAACACATTAGGATACCCAATAGCTTTCTGACAGCTAGTAGTAAACCCATCCCTGAGGGGAGCACAAGTTAATGTCCTTAAACAGGCTCTGGTAGAGCGGGGCATTACAGAGAGTTCTAAGAAAATAGAGAAAACCAGGGTGTGAAAACTGAACTATAAAAGCGAAGGGGTAACAAGCATATAAAAGGGTGTACCTTCCCTTTTCTCCCCACATCCAGACCAACTTTAACAGCTCTGGCCTTCCTACAATAAACCTAGACTGGTAATCCCTGAAATACAAGGAGATACAGAACTCTGTACCTATCAATTTTCTGGTCTTTAGCAAAATGAAGGGGTCATACAAATCACTTCTTAGTCCTTTCCAGAAGAAAGAATCCTAACATCCTATGATTGAAAATATTCTACTACTTTCTCCTGTTTCTTTGTGGCAGTAATGAGACCGGGAAGAAAACTTTTAAGGAAAAATTCCGATGTTTCTCACTCAAAAATATAATTCTTCTCCATATATACCACAAATGATTCCTATTCTATTAGCTAAATTCTACCTGTATCTCATCCTTCTTCAAAATCTAACATCAATGCAAACTGGCCAGAAGGTTGAAAAAAAAAAAAAATTCTAACATCTACCTATATAAATTTATTTTTAAAATGTGTTCTACAAGCTACTTAAGTGTGCACCAAATGTTAAAAATAAGGAAGTCCTCTTCTCCCCTACTTTCTTACACAAGCTTCCTGATACAATGTCTTCACTTAAAAGGGCTAAATCAGTGTATATACAATCTTCATAACAAAATTTTAAAAGTTCAGAGTTGAACAGGTGACAGCAAAGCTTGGGGAGAATTAGTGAACAAGGTGGTTTTAACTTCAGGGATAGCTAAAACTGTTTCTATTCAGGTTAAATAAATAGGATATGATCTTCCCTCTAATTGCCACCAAAAATATAGGCAAATTTTCCATAAGTGGGCTCCTGAAAAATAAGAACTTGTTTAAGTAAATCAAGTTAATTTTTGGTAAATATCCCTTATTTACTTTTTTTTTTAAAACATCTAAGACACACTGTACGAACATCCCTTATGAATCTGGGACACTGGCCACATTTCAAAGTACTAAACATGTATGGATTTCTGTACTTGACCAAGTCACATGGTTTATGAAAGTAGCAGTGGAACCAATTCCCAACATTATTTTCCTCTTACAGAGAACTAAAAAAAAGCTACTAGATTCAAGTGGAAACTGGAGAGAATCAGAGACTGTCCAAAGTTTTCAAAACAAGTCATATAAACAAAAACTGAACCACCTGGATTCTAAGCCAATACATAATCATAATCAAAACCAAAACTAGTTAAGGGTTTTAGACGACCTCTAAATTTCAGGCCCTGATTTGAGACTATTCTATGAAAGCATGAGCAAGGAAGTCTAACTTCAGTATTATCCTGAGCTAGGTACATATCCACTAATGAGATTATAAACAGATTACGTTGTAGCTCACATGTGCCACAATTTCTCCTTTACTATATTAAGAGTTGACATGCCCACCTATGGTCCCCAGAGCCTGAACATCACAGTAAACAAACATGAACCCAGAAAGGCATTACTACCTTAAAACCAGAAATTCTTATTTAATTTAGTGATCATCTAGTGCCACGTGGCTATTACTTCACCAGCGACTTTAACCCAACCGCTCATCCCACACAAGACATTGCTAAGTTTCTAAAACATGTGGAAGGCTCTCTAACTGTCCACTGTGCACTTTTGGTACATTAGATAGTTAATTAAAACCTTATATTCAAATAAATTTTAATGTTGTTTCCTTTACAAGGTCAATAATTATCTCATCAGTATGCAATTCCACAGAAATTGTTCTAAGTAACACAAATACAAAATTACGATATAAAAGACATCTTTAGATCAGTAGATTCGACAAATGCAACCATTTACTTAAAAGAAACAGGTCGCCCAGCATAAACAATGGTCTACAAATCTAAACTTCATAGAAAGATTTCCATATAGATTCTAACAAATTGCTTTCTATAAAGTGCCACATTTTCCACTAAATCATTTAAATTCTTCAAGGGTTTTCAAATAAGGGGATGAAGGAAAAGTATTGGGAGTGGCAGTTACAAACACAAAACACAACTTCTATAAACTCACCTGGATAATGCTATAATAAAAATATTGTTATCTACATCCAGATTTCAGGTTTGTACTAAGTGTACTATCAAACCAGACAAGAAAAACAATTTAAGAACAAATCACTATTATTGTGTTACCACACAGAATCTGTAAATCAAAAGGACACCTACAAAATCCAAATTTATCTTGTTTGCCCTAAAGGAAACTATGAACAGTGACATTAACCTTGTTCTGAATGTCTTTCAGACTTAGGTCTCTCTACAGTAGTAATTACATTATGGTATATGTCATTGAACTATAAACAGGTAAGCAGTGTGGTTCTAGAGAAAAAGCAACAGTCTGGGGGGGAGCCAATCTGTTCTTTGCCACATGGATGACTTGGAGGCCTAGTCATTTAACTACTCTGATGCTGCTGTTTCCTCACCTATCATTTTGGGGTGGATATAAAAATTAAATTTTCTAACCTAAAACTAAAGTACAATTCAACTAACGCTGTAATGGTAGCCTATTTGTCTAAAATCAAATTAATTTTCGATTATCCATTTCACTGCTACCCAATAATAGCTGAGAAAGTTGAGAACACTAGAATACACAAGCCAAACCTCACGATGAAAACAAAGATATTTTCGTAATGCCCAATATCTATTTATTTTCAACAAGTCTTAAAAGACTGAGACCCTCTGAACCAAAATCTTACGCAGCTAAAATACTCTTGGGTCAAGGGTTTTAACCTCAGTGGTGCACTTTACATTGAGCCATTCTACACGTGAAAAGCTGTACTTTAAAATCTGAAAATGTTGAATATAACGAGCCTATAGAAAATCTTGCCCTAACTTATTCTGACTTCCCAGCTATGTGAATGTATGCATCTCTAAGCTATTTATTCTATATGCAATAATGTAAACAATTATTTTGAGATTCCTAGCAGTGCCGACCATGATGCTAAATCCTATTTCTCATATCTAATGCTATTCAAAACCCCACAACCATCCCATTGTTAAGCACTTGAAATTAATGGGGAAGGCTTTTGCGTTGAGACTATACAGTAATTCCCTGCAACAAGTTACAAGCATCATCTAGCATATATTGCTACTCCCTCTCCACATTTAAACACGCATGCACACGCACACTCACAGACATGGTACGAATAACAGAAAAGCAAAATCATTAATTAGAGTAGATGTTACTCCAATTCCTGAAATAGATTCCTATTTCCTAAGTATTTTTTATTTATCTGAGGCTGAATTTCAAAAGAATGAGTCTTCATTCTGCTTCTCTTAATCCCACAGCTCCACCCGCCCACAGGAATAGAGAGTATTGGTGTTCTCAATGGGGTTGCTTCATTTTTCCAGAACATTTGGTATCCTTGGCCCCCGACCAATAAATGCCAGATGCGGAGCCTCCCCCTGCAACCCCTCCAAATCTCACACATTTCCAAATGCCCTCTAGGATGTGAATAATAACGCCAAGTTGAGGGTCACTGCATCTAGTTGGTGCACCTAAGCCGCTAAGAACTCCTGTTTTGAAATGTATGATTTAGGATTCGCAAAATAATGCCTAAGCCATCTGTAATTTATGTGCTTAATTAAATTCTTTTTTTTCAAAAGTAACTCAGCCTAACTTTTTATTTCTAAAAAGCCAAATATTTTATTTCTTTTTAACTTTTTATTTCTGCACCTACCACAAGCTTAATATAAGCTATAACTGAATTCCTTCCAATTATCACTGGCCTGGGCCAAATGAAGTAGTTACCCAACAGTTACTTAAACTGACCCAAAAAACAGCTATGTGACTCAGTTACATAAGTTTCTTTATGTGAAGGAGATGTTGCCAATTTTCAAATATTTGAGGTACTGGGACCAAACAGATAACATCAAACTTCATTTTAGTCTTAACTAATCCCTTCGCAGCAGCCTAGAGTTTCTCCGTAAAGGCAAAACAAACAACATTCCTATTCCTATACAGTTCGAAAGATGGATACGGTTAAGAAGAAAATAAGTAAGTTAAATTTGACAAACTGGTTGACCTTCAATTTGCAGTGACAAGGTATCACACAAAGGCTTGCTTCACACATGTGTAAACAAAACCTTCACCCACCTCGCACACAGCACTCAAAAAATAACATGCTATTGTAAAACGAGTATTAGTCTATATTACCAGATTAAATTTTCTTCCAGAAACATTTTAATAAAAATTGGCCATTTCCAAGAAGCACCCACTGCATGCCCATCAAAAAAAAAAAGAACCATAACAAAATAGAAAATTTACCATGTGGCTATGATTTAAAGAAAGAAAATTGCAGATACTTGAGCACATCAGCAAAGTCCAATATTAATGTCACATTTCTTCTTATGGGTTATGATTAGGAATCTGCTTAGATACCAAAATAAAAATACAAATGCTGAACTATTTATGTCAAAGGACCTCTATAGAAGCATCTGTCTTCAAAGGCATTCCAGTTTGAGACTCAATCTTAGAATAAGGCATAACAAATATTAACAGAAGACATACAAGGTGATGAAAGAGGGATTCTACAATTCCTCCCATACTGTGAACCTTATAAAACAAATCTAGATTTTTTTATTATTTTTCTTTAAGCAATTGCCAAGACTGGAATCAAAGATAAATAGAAGGCACAACAGTTTTGCTCTGTTTTTTTGTTATTTGCATTTGGGGGATTTTTTTGTTTTTTGTTTTTTTACAAATACAAATTAAACATGAAAAAACTCTACTTCAAAAAAAAATCTAACAGTTCATGAAAAGCATATCAGTTGCAGTCTAGACATTTAAAACCTATCTCACAATTTAAATTTTAATGGTAAAAACAGGTTTTAGAATTGTTTTGTGATCAAATATCAAAAGAAAAAACTCTATTAACACCTTTTATTCAGTTTTTAACCATACCAGTGAACATCAAAATTGTCAAATTTTCCAATGGCAATTTCTCCACACCAGAAGGTAGTCATGACTCTCAAAGAAGAAACAATTTGGGCTTTCTCCTGCCTTCAAAATGTTTATCAAATCCTGTATTTCTCACAGGTTTTTGAAACGCGTAGAAAATAAGTAAGAAATATTCCAATGAATGAAACATACCAAATGTCAGTAATAAGCGAGACATTCCTTTGGGGAAATGGCTGTTAAAAAAAATCCAGTCTGTATATGCAAAGTAAGCAAGGAAATTCAGTCTTTTCTTCTTCTTTAAAAATCCGTTACTCCTAAAATATCATTCCACAAAATTGGAAATGAAGGACTAAAGGTCAGGAGAGGGAAAGGACAGGGAGGGAGCACACACCATGAACGCAAAAAGAAGTAAAACTGTACAAACTTAAGCAGTTTATAACAGACTAGGATCATACTCCGAGATACCAAAGGCTGGCTGAAGAAATTCACCATTCTGCAGGAGTTAGGGTGTGAACTGCGGCGTGAAGATCAGTGAAGGGCAATTCACTGCCTTGGAGCAATCCCCCTTCCCACTCCGAATCCTGGTTTCTGCACCATGCCTCCACGGGGAGGGCCTCTCATGCCACCACCCAGCCCACCTCGAGGGCCTCCAGGTCCCCGCAGGCGGTTATCTCGACGGTCCCCTTCCCTGGCAGCTCGAGTCTTCTTCTCTTCCACATTCAGACGGACCTCACCTCTGAACATGATGGGCTGTAAGAATCAAGGTGACCAGACTTACTGAGTGCTGATGGGCTATGACTATTAA